AAAGTATGTTTCTCACAGTCATTAAAGGGAAAACTATAAAATGTAAGTTAATGCATAACTCGAAGTTAGTTAATGCGTAACTTGTTTTAAAGCATGTTTAATATTTTGTTTCTCTTAGCTACCATTTAAATTTTTTAAAGCATTCATTACAAGCATTATAATAGTTAATATATTCTAGTGAACATAGGTTGTCTTTTATTTCTTGTGATTAATCCCCGTTCTAATAAAACTTCATTCATTTTTTACGTTGAGCTTTATTAAAGGAGAGAAACGAGTAGTTTTAAATTACATCGGTTTATAAAGAGAGAACGCTAGAGGAATATCGCATCAACTCTTAGTAGAATTGTTGCTGAAATATTGCAGAAGTGCAAAAGAAAAATGTTTATTTATAACAATATTCCATTGCCTGTTAAACCATAAAATCTCAAGGATTTATTAGTTAATTTGTATATTTTCAAGTTTTTTTAAAAATTGTATATTTTTTAGACATATGTTTAATTTGTTTTATTCCCTTTTGATTTTTCATCTCTTCACTTTATAGAAAACCATTTAGATAATTCGACAGACTTTTAGTGGCGTTGATACCAGTGATAAAATCTCGTCTAATCTCATCGTGATGTACTTTATCCGTGAAGTACTTATTTGGATGTGCTATAATATGGATCACAACAGTGCATCATGAAAATTTGAATTTTTTTTTATTCATTTCCTATGGACAAAATTTTTTTATTGTGAAATTCAACAGACTTTTAGTGGCGTTGATACCAGTAATAAAATCTCGTCTAATCTCATCGTGATATATTTTATCCATGAAGTACTTATTTGGATCTCCTATAATATGGGTCACAGCAGTGTATCATGAAAATTTAAAAATTTTTTTATTCATTTCCTATGGACTAAATTTCTTCTTTATTGTGAAATTTTTTGATGCTATGCTTCAAATATTACTTTGTTACTCACAATTAATTGAATTATTATCAAATTGGCATGTTACTTTCGTTTCTAAAATTTTAAATCTAACATGTATTCATAACTTATTTTATTTCACTGTTGCTGAGGTAAATATTGTCGCTAAGATAACCTCTTCGTAATTAAATATTTTAGTATATTTTTTGCAATCCATAGTTTTGTTATAACCAAGATTAACTTCGTATTGAATTTTCTTGGAAAATAATGAACGTAGCATGAACGAATAATTTTTTTTTTTGCTTTTTATTATATTGTTGAATTACGTATAATTAATAAATAATGCATTTAAAATGAGAGGATCTGTATTAACCACCCTTAATCTTAAATTTCACGTGAATGTTTATAATCCTTGTTAAAAAATAAAGACAAAAAAATCAACGCATTTACTTTGCTGCCGTCTTATAGTTTAGTTGGCAGAAAAACAACGTTTAAAATTACATATTGTGAAAATTTATTAAAAACCAATTTGCTTTACAGTACCCCAATGGTACATTTTCACATCAGTATAATAAAAGACAGGAATAATAAAAATAGAGATGATTTAATCCGACAGAGGTCACGTTATACTAAAAAAGATAAATATACAGTTTAAAAGTTATATATATATATATATATATATATATACAAGTATATATATATATATATATATATATATATATATAATA